CTTCAGCCTTAGGAAGACCAGGAGAGAAGGACCTTTCAGGATGACTGAAAGAGATGAAGAGGACCCCAGTCCCATCCTTGTAGAGATGTGAACCCTGTGACGTTTTAGAATCAGTTTGTGAGAGGGCCATGACTCCATTACCCAGTGTCAAGCATGACTTACTGGCACTTTCAGATTTTAACTAGACTACATTCCGTTCATTTGTTCATCGTTTGTGCTCTTTAATTGAGTTAACAACTGTCCATCTTCTCACCTTCTCATTCACCTTTGCATCTGCCATGTCTCCTTGATCTTCAGAAACTCCATTCAGAGCTTTCTTCATTTTCCAGTGGTACTGAGCTATGTGCTCTGGAATTTGGCCACTGATTGGGAAGTCCAAAGGATTCTGCTCAGACATTGATGTCTGTCTCTCTCTATTCTGATATTGCTAGGCCAGTGAAATCACAGCCTTTAGTGGTCATTGGAATTCCAGGGGCTGGGGAGTTGAGACCTTGAATTGACAGCTCCCCACCTTCGGGCTTAGTGCTCTGCATTTGAGGTATGAATTGTGATGTGGCATTCTCTGTAAGTGTTTCCTGTGCTGCTGATCTGGAAAAGCAGTCCCGGGACTTCACCCTCGTGTCCCTTCTGTATTTGTTAAACACAGCCACATTATTCCATATAGATGGGGCTTTACTGTGGTTTTTTAGGGGATGCTGAATTGCTTTCTTTATTATGGTTATATAAAGCCCTATGTAAATTCAGTTCAGTAATTTAAAATTTTAATTAAAACTATTTATTTTTTAAAAATGAATTGCTAAGGCAAAAATGTACGTGGTGATGTAATACTAATGCCAACCATCCAGAGCATAGTCCATTTAAATTTCAGCTTCTTTTTTTTACTATGTTTGTTTTGCATTTCCCTGTTCTTATCATCTCTCTCCTCCTGTCCTCAAGCATTTAATTCATAGCTATTCTATGTCTGACTCTGAAGTAAGCCCCACAGAGCAAAGATGGATGGAGAATACACAAATGAGTGAGTTTCCCATCGAGTCAGAGTAGATGGTTGTGAATACAATGGCATGCACCAGGAGCTGTAGAAGAAATGACAGTATCCTTGGACTATAGGGAATGTGCTGTGATAGAGGGGCAGCAAAGAGGTTCTAGAAAAAGACTGGGAGCCAGTATGGAATCAAAGGCTTAACCAAAAGGAATCGCAATTATAATCACATTAGTATGTCAATGATAATAGTTTCCCTTTGACTTGAAGAAACTTCTTCACCACCCTTTAACAAAAATGGGACACCAAATTACTTAATGGTTATATTTTAAAGCAAAGTACTATATGCTTTGTCTGGTAGGCATACTGATAAAATAATTTTGTCATCTGATAGAGCTGTAGAACTATTTTGTGCAAACTGAATATTAAAAGACTGCACAAACCTTTATGTTCTGGACCAAATGAAACAAGGGCTGGCGACAGATAAGACCAGCAGTAATGAGACTCCATTGCAGACACAGCTAAAAGGAAGGACTTTGCTATGAGAGGGCGCCACCTTCTGGCCAGTCTTCCTGGACCCACTAATGCTGGGATCCACTGTGTGGTTCTTACCTCAGAAACAGGGTCTTCCTGTAGAACCTGGAAATCCAGGCCAACCCCGGCCCCTTCTCAGGAGTCCTATCTCGTACTTATAAAACGAAACATATGCTTGGACTTAGAGTGTGTTAGGTTATGAAAGCTGTGCTGCAATAGGTGTGTGGTCATCAGCATTAAACAAGGTCACATGGCACACTTTTCAAGTGCATGGCCCTTTCTTTGGTTTACTGTCCAGTAGAGCTGAGGCCTGCCACTTACAAGTTTATTGGCATCACTAACCCCCAATTTTCCATCTGTAAAACAAGAATAATAATATGAAATTCTACTCGGGGTAAAATAAGATATGTTAAAAGAAATGTTTAGCATAAATACATGATTGCCAGGACACCAGCAAGATAGCCACAAAGAACAAGTTGTTTAATATAAATGTAGCTTAATCAGTCCAGAAACTGTAGGGAGCTCCATAATCTACCTAAAATATCTTGAGAAGTATTATAACAGTTGCTTTACAGTTTTCAGTCCTTTGAGATGGCTCTGCTCTCTGGATCAAGAACCACCATTTGCCAAGCTGTCAACTGATCAGTGCCCTGGGAGATCAGCATGATGACAGCCCAGCTTATATTTATTTATGGTGGCTTGCATTAAGCTGGGCCCTGGTCTCCCAAACACAACATCACCGAGAGACTGGTTGAATGTTTCAATAATTATTAAAACAAGAAAATATTTTGTTTTAGTTAGATAAACTCATTTATTCAAGCTAAGTTTTGAAATCTTGGAAGTTTCATAGCGATATTTTTAATTAATGCAGAAGCAAATGGAGCAGCCAAACCCCATCCCATGGAACTCCTACCAAAGTAAATGAATAAATGAATGAATAAATATAAATAAAAAATAGGAGCACAGTTCTTAAATTTTATTGCCAGAGACAATCAACTCTATGGGCTCAAAATAAATCTTAAATTTAGAATATTCATGAACCTGCCTCTTCTGAAGTCTTATACAGTAAACACTATCATAAGTAGTCAAAAAGATACACTGAAAACCAAGTTGCCCGAGCCAAGAGCTTCATGATATGCCAGGCCCCAGTGGCAGGCTTTACAAGCACTGACCTCATGTAACCTCACAACTTGATATTGGGTCCAACGTTTGCATTATGGGGTTTGAAAAGGTTGACTGCTTACCTGGAGCTTTCCACATGTTGTTTGTTCAAGTTGGTAAATGACAGAGTGGGGTGCAAATCCATTTTCCATGGAGTTTCTCAAGCTATATTGCTTGAGTGATTTGAGAAGATTATCAAAGTATGTACAGGCTTTCACATGCATATGACCTGTTTGTCATAGTCCAATAAGATAGGCCTGAAGTACACATCCTGTTAGCGAGATGACCTGAACACTTCCTGCAGGTGTTGTAGTGACTTTGCGGTGCCTGGAGATACACACTGGTGGCAGGATAGGGCCTGGGTGATCTCTGTGTCCTTCCTAAACCTGTGGTTGCAACTGCCTAGTGGTCCTCAGGAAGATAAGCCGGTGAATAGCCAGAACTGTGGGTTTTGCTGCAAGCCAGCCTGCTGTGTCTGTTCACATTTTTCTCCTCATTCTTATCAAGGAGAAACATTCGAGGAAGGAAAATACTCATCTCAGACCCAAGACAGTTTTCAAACAATATCTTTAGCTTTTTCCTTTCAGATTCTATGTCTTTTACCTGGTTTGCTGCTAGTAAATCATTTCTGTGTGTTCCTTAAATTCACTGTAAGAGGGTTTATAGGACTGGGGTTTGGGGACCAGACAGGGCCTTTGGTGACTCCTCTTATTCAGATCTCCCAGTTCTGAACCTAGGTAGATCAGGCCTGTGTGTAGCAAGGGCTGTGCTTGGGTTTACTGTATTGAACTGCAGATACACCTAGCCATGCTTGCTGTCTAGACCAGTGCTTGTCTGTCTAGTTGCTTTCTATCTGCCATGTGCATACTTAGAGCCCGCCTTTAACTATTTTAGAAACTCTTTCAGAGCCCTTGGAAAGTGTCCAAGGAAGTTCCTGGTCTTAGCATACACTCTCTGTCATGTGTTCAATAATAGTAGTAATTTAACAGAAGGGAACTGAAGCCATGGCATTTATATGTATGTAATGACGGAGCACTGCAACACACAAGGGGTGTGTTCTCACTGTTTGTAACTAGAGAGAAGTGTGAAACTTGACTAAAGGATGATTATGGCCTTCTCTTTTCTCTCTCATGTGTGTCCATCTGGAAATTTCAAGGAAGTGTACTAGAGTATGTCCTATGCCACTGTTAACTTGTATCCTAAAAATAAAGTTCAAGAAACCATTCTAAGATGTATATGTCCAAAGGTATACACATCAAATGTATGTGGTTTATGCATAGTGTACACATGGTACGTATACACTACCAAGAAGAATCACAATAGAAGGCACCATTTTCTCTGTTCCCAGATGAGGAAGCTGAATCAGGGAGGGCTGAATGGCTGTGCATGCAAATAGAGTTTAGGGCTGCTCTGCTTTCCCATGGGCAATGATGTCTCCATGGATGTCTGTTTTCTGGATAACTTTGGAGGACCAGATTTTTTGGAGTGACTCATACTAGCCATTAAGAATCTTACTTAGGATTCTGGCTTATTGGAAGCATTCCATTGGATAAGGACTCGGGTCAATAATAGCATATTTTAACCCTGGTTCCAGTTGTAAATTGCAGGCATTTGAGCACTGAAGCTGATTTTTTTTCTCATATAATGTAGAGAATATGACATCCCACACTTACACAGATGCCATGAAGACAGATGACATAGTGGGTGTAGAGACATCTGGAAACATTTGAAATATTACATAAATATTCAAAAGTGATTACTTGCATGGTCACAGTTAGTTGGGGTTACTAAACTGAAACTCTATTAGTCTGAGCCCATTGTTCTTTTCATTCATTTGTGCTATCTTAGTATGCCTTGCAAACACATTCATTCACACATTGATCATTCTCCTTTTGGATAAATAAGACCTGTTATTACTCTATGGTGGAATAGGATTCTCGCTGTTGCTGCTTTCATAAACATTGTGTGACTCCACAACAGAATCAACTTCCCTTTATTCAAACTTGGAAATTCTCCCATCCAATGGCACTGGGATCTACATGGCCAATGAAAGCTCCCTGTAAACAATGCTGTCAAGCCTAATCAAAGATGTTCAGAGTAGAAGTCTCATCTGAGCTAGAGCAGGACTTCAGTTTACAAATAGTAGAGTGAAGTGCCATCATGAGAGACGTATGTGACATCACCCATCCAGTGAAGGCCATGAGCCTGACACTGTACTGAGAAGCTGAGGGCATCTGAGTTTGTTTATTTTTGTGTTTTCAGAACTGTTTGGTCTTTTGAAATAAACATATCGTCTTCCTAAGTGTTTCCCCTTTGCTACTTACAGAAGAAGACTGCACAAGCTCGGCGTGTCAAAGGTCACCCAGGTGGATTTCCTGCCAAGGGAAGTAGTATCCTACTCCAAGGAGACACAGACTCCTCTTGCAACTCATCAGTCCGAAGGTAAAAGATGGCTTTTGTTTTCTTTATGTGCTGTGGTCTGCAGAAACTATCAGGAATTAGCATCCTTTGTGTTGATGTCATATCCCTGGGATTTTTGTGGGATGCAAACAGAGTGACATCTAGAAAACCACAGATGCTGTTTTCTCTGATTTTGGAGGTTCCACTATTCCTCCAAGAGATCCATGGACTTTTAAGTGTATAACACTTGTGTCGAGTTTCTGTGCTTGTGTGAAGAGGGTGGAAATCATCAAAGTAGTGAATAGATACTTTCACAAATGGTGTTAATAAGACTATGGTCATTAAAATCCATCATTTGGGGATGGCTCAGAAGTTAAGAGTACATACTACTCTTGCACAGGACCAACACCCATGGCTGGTGGCTCACGACCACATGTAAGTTCAGATTCAGGGAATCCAATGTCTTTGTTTTTGGCCTCTGCAAGTATGTGCACACACACGGTACACACAAAGAGACACACATATACATATAAGTAAAAATAAAAATCTTTTTTAAAAAATTCACCATTTGTAGGAAGAGCAAGCTGCATCCCACCATCTGTTTCTAATAATAGAATATTACTGGGACACAAATGCTTCCAATCATTTGCACCTATGACTAATTTTCTTCCTATAATGGTCTGGCTGAACAGACATGAAGAAGACCTTAGCTGGCTCACAAAGCCTAAAATCTTGGATCTAATTCTTTACAGAAACCCTTTTCTGGGCCCTGATTTTCTGGGCAGTTCACATAACAACACACAGGTCAACGATATTCTCCATGCACATTCATTGTGGATTGAGTGGGAATGGAATTGTATACCTCTTTTATGCATACCAGAAAATATGAAATAGAAAATTTGCAGGAAAATCTCAACAAATCATTAAAGTCATTGTGATGATTAATCATGACGTTTAACTTCCTGGGATTGGAAGCTTGATGGAAACAAGCCTCTGGGCATATCGGAGGGATTTTCTAGATTTGTTTAGTTGAGATAGGAAGATCCTATATACTCAGTGACACCTTAGGAGGATTGAGGTCTTGGTCTGAATTAAAAGGAGAAAGGGACCCGAGCAATAGCATTCACACCACTTGGCTTATGCCATGTGCCTCAAGACCCTGCTCCCACAGACCTTCTGCCGTGATATACTATATGCTCTAACTGCAAACCAAAAGAAACACTTCCTGAAGGGGCTTCTTGCCAGGTGTTTTTATCATAGTAACAGGACAAGGAACTAACAAGAGAAGTTAAGGCGGATGAATCTTAATGTTTCCTCAAAGTATGATACCATGCTAAGGGACAGAGATGTCGCTCAGTGGCAGATTGCTTACCTAGTGTGCATGGAGCCCTGGTACAGTTCTCAACAAACAAACACTTCAGACCAAGATAGAATTGCAGGAAAATTGAAGAGATGTGTATACAGGAAATGGAGTAAGTCAACTTGCATTGTTAGAAAGTAGCATTCCAGTAACTGATGGGAACAGATGCAGAGATCCACAGTCAAGTACTAGGCCAAGCTCCTGGAGTTCAGGCAAAGAGAGGGAGGAGGTATTACATGAGCAAGCAATGACAAGATCATGATGGGGAAATCTGCAGAAAGACGCCTGACCCGATAGCTCAGAGCCTGCATGGGACCGAACTAGAACCTCTGCATGTGGGTGACAATCGTGTGGCTTGGTATGTTTGTGGGATCCCTGGCAGTGGGACCAGGATTTATCCCTGGTGTGTGAATTGCCTTTTGTTTTTCTTTTTGGAGCCCATTTCCTATGGTGGGATGCCTTAATCAACTTTGATGCAGTGGGCAGGGGCTTGGTCCTGCCTCACTTTAATGGGCAAGGTTTTGCTGACTCCCCATGGGAGTCCTTACCCTCTTTTAGGAGTGGATGAGAGGAGTAGAATGAAGGGAGGAAATGAGACCTGTGTTTGGTATGTAAAATGAATAAAAATTTAAAATTAAAAAAGAAATTCAAAGATGGACATTGAAAAAACAAAGTGAGTAACATTGTTGATAGAACAATTTTGCTTCCTGGGTGTTCAATGTGGATAAGAGGATGTTTGAATTTGGGGTTCATTCTTGGTAGACATTAAATATTGAGCAAAATCTCAAATAATGAAATACATTAGCCTTTCATACTCAATCTGTAACAGACGTAAACCAGTGCGGCTTGGTTTGTGCATGCTACAGAGATTTTCTATTTGGATTGTCAACTCATAATGTCAAAAATGAAGAAAAATCTTGTTTCTTAAAGTTCAGGCTGCCTACAGACCTTTAGTAATATGGCTGTGTCGACAAGTCTTTGGTAGCAGTGCCTATCAAGCCCTGTGATAAAATAACGAACTTCAGATGCAGAAGAGTAGCACCCTCTGGTGGTGAAACTTTAGACAAACTAACTGCCGCATTAAGACCTGTGTGTTAACTTCGCAGAAAATAACTCTAACAAAACCCTTCAAGAGTCCTGTCCTTGGGCCTCCAGACAAGAGAAGGAAGATTGTTAAAAAGCAACCTCACTACCCAGCCAAAGCATTTGTTTGAGTTAATTTGCTGCCAGAGGCATTTGCAGAACTATAGCTAGAGGTGTGTTTATTTAGCCCCAAATTTGACCCATAACATAAAGTGGTACAACTGAAATCGGAGAAGGAGTGAATTATTTTTAAGAATGTGTATACTTACGGTATTGGAAATGGTACAGAAATATTTACAAGGGGAGATAAATTAAGGATGAAAAGGCATCAACTCCAAACTTTTAAACTAGAATACATCAAAAGGAAAAGCCCACAGAGTTCATTTTATTACTGCAGGGAGAGGTTGGGAGCCCTCATTATGCTGTGGTCCAAGCAGCAGGAAGGGAGGAATTTATTTCTTAGCAATTGGCAGAAGTTCTTTGTGTTTTCTTAACAAGACCCATAGAGCTTTCTTGTGGTAATGGTTCAAATTCCACAATACAGACTTGAACCCAAAGCCAGCTACCGGAGCCTACAGGAGCTCATGATATGAAGACAAACCTTTATGATTGTCGTCTTACCACAGATGTTGGGCTCTTGACCTTTGGTAACCTGGCTGTTGAGGATGCCCAGGACCAGCCTTTCATCTGCTGGGTGAAGTGACAGGAAGGGTTAGCACAAGTGTCAGCTGTGAGCAGTCTGAAGCCAGGTCCTTCCAAATGGGAGACTTGGGTTGGTGCCCGATTTGATGTTTGAGCCAGTACAATGTTGTTGTGATAAGGACAGTCTTGCAGGGATAGGAGCTCAGTGACTACTGGATTTTACAGCACAGTAAGACTCTTGGATAGATAATATTTGCATCTGTCATGTCTATAAATCCCATGTGAGCTCTTTATTAACAATAACATATAAAGACTTTTTAACTCATTGTTTGAAGACAGAAAATTAATGAAGCTCAAAACTGACAATTTCAGAGCATTGATGCTCTGCCTTGACTGGAGTTCTATTGTATTCACCTCGTACACAGACACACTGCACTTAAGGAGGCGTAGGAGAAGTACTCTGGACTTGCCTGAGTTAGAGCCCCTTTCCTCTACCACATACTATAATGAGCACTCTTCAGTGTGTTAGCTTGAGACATAATGGTCTGTTGCAAGAAATACTCTGAGATGTTTTAAAACGTGGTAGATTTAGAACAAAATCTCCATCAATACAGTTCTTCCAAGTAGCTTGGGGCTTCCTCGTCTGTTTAGGTCACTAGTCACAGGGCAAGAAGGTTGAGAACGGAGAAGTCTGATCAGAAACAGGCTATCTCTACCCTCAAACATTTTAAATATGTGCTTTTTATTTCCAAGTAAGGAAAGAGCATGTATATTGCTCTGCCAAATGTTTTGCCTCTGCTTTGCATGTTATTCCCCTAACTGTCCATGAGGTACTGCAGTCCGAAAGCAATCCTGTGTGTGTTTATTACAATGAGTAGGTGGCTAGTAAGTAACCAGTACCATGCAACTGAATGAGACTGGTACTTCCAGATTTCTCTAGGATCCCCCAGGTTCTTCATGGGCCCTGGAGCAGTGAGACTGTCTAAATGTGCTGGGATGGTGTCAGCCACATTGGACAAGGGGAGATTCTTAGGCATTCTGTTGGTAGTGTCTAAGGTTCTCTGTACTCCCATGGGAACTTGGGCTTTATCTTGGCCACTTCCTGCCTATCTCTGATGTCTTACATCCAAGACACACAGTGACTGCTACACTTTTCCAAGCTCTCCTAACGGCCTGTCCTGCTATGCATGTGCCGTGCTGTATTCTCTATTTGGAATGCCTTCCTTTCCCTGTGCCTTCCTTCAAGGGTGCACCCCACAGTCAGTTCCTTGATAATTCCGTACTCATACCATGGCCAAAGTCGGTTTCTCTGTATTATACTGCACTGATCCCTTCCATGTCTGGGCTTCCCTATGAGTAGGGTCCATGTACTTCATCCACTTTGTGCCTCACATAACTCCTGGTTCAAAGAGTACACTCTCTAGACATGCAAACAGGCGAGAAGCATAAGATACTGAAGGCTGAAGAAATAGGAGCTGGAAATCCTTGTGGTTTCTGGGGTGATGAGGACCAGTCTGGGAAATCGCACTGTTTTTGTGAGGTTTTGATGGAAATACCATAGTTGAAAGATTTGTCTTTTCAAAGGACCTTAGTATTTCTCTTTCAGCCAGGCCCCTGTTTCTGTCCTTGGTGAGTGTAGGCATTATCTACTCATAAATATGATGGGAACACTGGAAGCAGCCTGAGTTGGCCTAGGATAGGGCAAAGCAGCCTCAAGCTTCACTGTGCAGAAATGTCTTCAGAGCAATTTGGGAGCAGTCCGTAGGGGGGTAGCTAAGGATGGCAGTTGCACTTTTGTATGCCTGGGAAATACTTTCTTAGTATGGAAATATTTTCTACCTTGATTCCCCATCCTCTCCAGGATACATTCTCTACAAACAAGCTACAAACAAGCAAATCATTGCGGTTTGGGAATTCAAACAGTTTGGTCTGATATTGTCCAATGATGCCACTGATG